TTATTTGAAGCTTCGGGTGACGTTTTAGCTCATCCGCGCATCACTACAATGCATACAAATTCCATTATCTTCACGAATATAGCCATAGCTTTCTTGCTGTCTGGTGTGTAAAGTTCATGTTTTTTTCAGAACGTCTGTAATGGATGGCTGAGCGAGAGTCGCGTTATAGTTACCATTGCCTTTTTTGCAGTTGCCAGTTTTTCGTATTCGCCATACGTCTCGCGGTGGCTCGTTCTTAAGTGCAGAATCAGGTTCGTCGTATTAAATGTTTTGGATAATGCTCCGCCCTGTGAGATTTCTTTGAAACATACACGGCAAATAGAGAATTTTTCATTGTTTCTCGAAATGTCATAGTATTTCCACACCGGCGATGACATGACTACAGCGCCAAATCATTTACGTCCTCACGCATTGACGTCGTCAAATTGCGATCGGTTCGTGAGATCGGCCAAGTTTAGTGAGTACCGATCGAGTCCTAAAATGTGATTATCGGCCGATACCGATCTCCGGCCGATCGATCGGAGCATCCCTATAAACTGTTAAACTTTTATTTTGACAGCAAGCCACAGCTGCCCTTAAAGCTTGTCTTTCATTAATGAGTGCTTCTTATTAAAAGTTTGTGAAGAACGTTGCAAACAACATCATGCGACATTTTTGCATTCGAATGTGAATTTTTATTTTAAATTCGACGAATATTCAAAATTCTATTTTTTTTTTTTGACAGCCCTAGTATGAACATACATTACGAAAAGGAATAAATATATGAATTTTAAAACAACAATTGGCCACTTGTCCGCAGGTTTAAGGTAGAAGGATGGTAGTGCTAAAAATGTCTTTCCTGTAAATATATGGAACTTCTGACGTTTATCTCCCATTATGTGCAGGATTTCAATGAAATATCAATTTCTGAGTTTCTGGCATTTACCAATATTAATATATCTGTCAAATATCAGTATGCACTGGGGACTTATAATCAAGTTCTCTTCTGTTTTTTGCAACTTGGGACATCTGTGAGCATCTCTGAAATGCTCCATTGTGAATCAGTGTCTTGTGCTCTTCACTCTTATGTCGTGAGTTGAGCGTTAAGCAGCACTGCGTTGACTCGCCACACGATGGCCACGTCTTCATTTGCAGCTCACTTTAATCTCTCTCCCCTTTGTTTAGGCTGCAAATTACTTGGACATCAAAGGCTTGCTAGATGTTACTTGCAAGACGGTTGCTAACATGATCAAAGGCAAAACCCCAGAGGAGATCAGAAAGACTTTCAATATCAAAAATGATTTTACAGAGGAAGAGGAAGCCCAGGTAAAACAAGTGCTCATTTCCTGTCTCCTCCGTCACGCATGGTCTTAATGTGCTGTTGATACTCATACTGTCTCACAGTTTTTATTTGTATATCTTGTTTTCATTTTTATTTTAGTCAAATTGAATGATTTTGTTGTTTTTGTCATTTTTAGTAACTTTTAGAATCAGTAAGATTTTTTATGTTTTTTTAAAGAAGCCTCTTCTGCTCATCAAGGCTGCATTTATTTGATCAAAAATAGCTTTTTAGTTTATATTAGCCTGGTTTATTGTTATTATTATTCAATGAACCTGAGTTAACATGAACTTACTATGGAAGCCCATTTACGCTATGGCATAAAAAAAAGTAATTGCAACTTTTTTCTTTTCTGACGATTTGTACCTTTTTCTTGCAATTACCAGTTAATATCATAATTCGTAATAATTCGCTATGAATTAATGATTAATATTTCTTAATTCATAATTCAATGCTGAGAGTTAGATTAGATTTTTTTTTCTCAATTGCGAGATATAAACTGGTAATTCTATGAAGAAAATTTGATGTTGCGAGGGATACTCAAAATGTAAAAATTTTTTTAATTTTTTGGCAAAAAACAATTGCAAGACGTAAACGTTAAATTGTGGTGTGATTTGGAATTGTGGGAAAGGAAGTCAAAATTCTGAGTTTCTCACAATTCTGACTTTATTTTTATTTGCATTTTGAGAAGTATTGCAGCTACCTTTTGGATTACATTTTTTTTATTCCGTGGCAGAAACAGGTACAACTTTGAATACATTTTCACAATCTTGAAATGAACTCAAATGCTTTAGACATATTTTTCATTGTTAGTTCATGTTAAGTAATGTAGTTTACAGTTAACAAATAATTGTAACAGTGGATGTAATGGGACAATAGCTTACTAAATATTGTGCAGTATTATATTGTTCTGGTCTTATTAAAAACAGCAGTGAAAATGCATTGCAAAACAATGCCGTGTGATCAAATGAGTTCATTATACAGTCGATAAAAGCACTAAAATTGTCAAGCTGGACACTGCTGCTGCTGGTGAATGCACACGATACATAGAAAAATAACAGTATGCTGTTCCACTTGAGTGAACCACTGAAAGAACTCCATGAGACGGATTTTTCAAAATACTTTAATAAATCTATAGAGAGATTAGTTACATCAAAAGTAAAAGAAAGAGCGATGACTTGCTATATGTTAACACTGAAGATGTGTGGCAGGAGATCACAGATGACATGATCGCTTCAGAACAGACCTGAGTCAACACTGAATGATTACTAGAAAGCACACACACACACACACACACGTAAACACTTCATTTCATACTGCGACGTTTGGATGGATGAAAGGCATAGCTGACTACTTCAGATCTACACAACAAAAGCTATTAAAAATGGAACTTGTGTCATTAAAAGTAAACAGCCAAGGAATGTTTTTTCTTTTTTTTTCTCTTTACATAAAAACATATAAAAGTTTAGTTATTTACGGCCTTTCAGTCTATAAAAGATGAAGTTTAACAACACTTATTTGATTGTACAAGAGTTATCGTGAGAACTGACACTGTTTTCAGTGATGTAAAGTAATCTCCACACACGGCTGAATCTCATGAAGAAACTTCCAGGTCATGCTTTAGCAGAAAAATACATTTTGCACAAAGAAAATTAAGTTATTTAGACCATTCAGATTTTTGGGATTGTGATGACAGTTAAGCACATCTCCCCCAAAATTCACATTACTGTACTGCACAAAAAAAAAAAAATCATTTCCACTACTGTAATTGTGGCTAAACGGCTGCTACCAAACAAATAAAATCAGTATCAGCCAAATACATCTTTTCATTGCATTTAGATGCACATACATGAAACATCATGAAACAGAGGTGGCATAAATGCATTTACACTGCAAAATAATGTTATGAGATTAATGTTTTATATATACATATATAATATAAATATGAAACTAACCTACCAGTCGGTGGCGGTAAGTGACAGTCTTGAGTCATTCATTCAAAAGATTCGTTCAAACTGCTGATTCAGTCAAGAATGAGAAAACGAGCGAGTCATTGAATTGTTTGCTCAACAGATCAAAGATGCTCAGAGAATTGCAACGGTTTTGCGTTTTTTGTTGGCAAAATGGAGAAAAACTGGCAATACTGGTGTCTAAAATGTAACTCGTTTAATATAAAATTCTTGTTTGCTGAATTGAATAAAATCAATATCACATTTGTAATCGTGCTGATATTTGGGAAAACAGCACGCTTGCTGTGTAATGTTCCTTAACTGCTTAACTGTATCGGGATATAAAAGTGTAAATGTTGAACCCTGTATATATGTGTGTGTGTATATATATATATATATATTTTCCAAACTACAGTAGCAAAAATATTTTTTGCATTATTGGTAATGAATACAATATGCTTAATTGTCATTAAAATGAATGAAAACGGGGGGGAAAAAGACATTCTTCATGAGATTCATCCACACAGAAATCTAATTCCATGACTTCCTAAAAGATGAGAGGACGCCCCATGTCCCGAGGAAACTGAAGTGAAGAGAACTTGAAGAACGTGAGATCAGTCTCCGCAGCGATCGAGCCGTCAGTCATTGTGGCTGCCTTACGGCGCTCTCTGTTGTAATTCTGCTGAAGTCGAGCGAGAGTCTGGGTGGGTGGGCGGAGCGTTTGGCGCTCTGTGGGAGGGGACTGCTGGTGGGGGAGGCGGGGTTTGGCGGGTGATTGACAGGTGAAGGGGAGGAGTCTATAGCACTTCCATCGGAAGAATGGGGGCTGGCGCAGCGTCCTCTTTGAAGGTAGCGAATGCACTTCTTTTTCCTCCTAGGAACAGTCAAGAGAGTTATCTGTGAATAAAGCGTGGATGTGAAACGTCACAAAGATGAACTGCACAACAATGACAGAAAATAAAGAGCACACAAAACAAACAGTTATGCCAGAATATTATAGTGTCAAATAAGTGTGAAAAGCCGACGTGTGAAAAAAGGACTGCTTTATTCGACAGTTCTGACTGAATTTCAAGCTGATATCACACGCTTTTCCTAAAAACATATGACAATAAAAACTCCAGTCAAGTTCACACTCTAAATTTACGACCGATTTTTGAACGAACTCAAAGCATAAAGTTTAAAATATCAAGAGGAATTTCAACCTAACTTACAGTTTTAAAGAAAAATACATGAAAAATCAATATCAGTTCATGAACACAAGCAGGAATGATATTTAGTCCTGCATAAATACAGCTGAGTGCATAAGTTTGTAGAATCTTCAAGATGTTAATAATAATAATAATAATAAAAGAGGGATCGTGATTCATAATTCTGGACTATATGTGAACTTATGCACTCAGCAATTCATACAACTAATAAACAGTCACATTTACAGTAACATTTTAAAACATGAATTATAAAATGAAAGATATACGTGTTCAACTTCTTAACTTGATCACTGCGTTTTATCTTTTGGGTTGCATTATTAACTAATAGATTACATGTTTTCTGTTATGCAAATGAGGCATTATCTAATTTAAAATGCACTAATTTGCATGCTTTTCCAGAACGGAAATCTGAAGATCGAATAAAGCGAAATCGAATGTTTAATTTTGTCAGCATATTGGAGGATAAAATGTTATTTATGACCCTGGAGCACAAAAGCAGTGTTACGTCGCTGGGGTATATTTGTAGCAATAGCCAAAAATACATTGTATGGGTCAAAATTATACATTTTTCTTTTATACCAAAAATCATTAGGATATTAAGTAAAGATCATGTTCCATGAAGATATTTTGTACATTTCCTACCGTAGATATATCAAAACTTAATTTTTGATTAGTAATATGCATTGCTAAGAACTTAATTTGAACAACTTTAAAGATGATTTTCTCAATATTTAGATTTTTTTTGCACCCTCAGATTCCAGATTTTCAAATAGTTGTATCTCAGCCAAATATTGTCCTATACTAACAAACCATACATCAATGGAAAGCTATTTATTCAGCTTTATTCAGATGATGTATAAATCTCAATTTTGAAAAATTGACCCTTATGACTGGTTTTGTGCTCCAGGGTCACATATAAATCAAGTGAATGATGAACAAAATCCTCTGTAAAAACCTTCAGAATATACATGGGAATAAAACCGCCTTTAAATATATGTATTCTAATTGAAATCTACAGATGCAAATAGATGAAGCGTAATAAGGTAAAACTTAAATGTGTATTTTGCATGTTTTCCCTTTCACTAAAACGCAAGCAGAATCTCAAAACTGACTGGTGCACAAAAAACACTGGTTTTGTCTTCAGCGTCTTGCCTTAGGGAATCGTTTTGAATGTTAAAGTTGAAAGCGATTGCAACACGTAAGCCTTACTGACTGGAAACCGCAGCACGAGCAAACCACAGTGCCAACCCCGTCAGGAGCCGCTGGAGATCAGTCACTTCACACACTCTCTCGGCCGCGCGTCTGCAAACCCTGCTGCAGAGCTACCTCATAAAAACTCACCTTGAACTAAAGAAACTGACATCTGAGACGAGATAGTGATCTCTGGTTCGTGAACAAACTGAGTCTTCACAGTGAATCTGCTGAATTGGCTCAGCAATCAGACCGAAGGAATTACAGCAGTTCTCGAGTCAACAACTCACTGATTTAATGATCAAAATGACCACAAACCAGTCTAACAGAGCTTGAGCGTGTGAGTTACTGGTAAGTTCCTCAAGAATTACACTCTTAAAAGCAAAGGTTCTTCACAGCGATGCCATAGAAGAACCATTTTTGGTTCCACCTAGAACCATCTCTTTCTTACCTTTTAATAATCTGAAGAACCTTCTTTCATCACAAAGAAGCTTTAGTGAAACAGAAAGGTTCTTCAGATGTTAAAGGTTCTTTATGGAACCATTTAGACAAAAAAGCTTCTTCTGTGGCATCGTGAAGCACCTTTATTTTTAAGAGTGTAATGTTGAATTTTAGTATTGATTACTCTAAATGAAAACTAGTATTTTTGCATTTGCATGGTAATGCATTTTTATGTTTATACATTTTTATACTATTTGTAGCCACATATTTACATTTTTGTTTATTAAAGGTTATTTTAATGTTTTGATATACATTTTATATAATGTTTTGATAGTGTATATTAAGTTTTAGTAATAAATTAAAAAGCTTATTTTTAGATCATACATACACATTAAAGGGCCGCACTATTTGGGGAAAAAATTGAATTGCAATTTTTCTGAGAAAAAAAAAAAGTGATTACAATTTAATGTCTTGTTTGTAAGGCTGCACAATTTGGCCAAACTTTTTGTGATTATATCAGTATGGATATAAAATAATATCAATTTCATTAATAATAATTATAATAATAACTGCAATTAGTATTGCTAAATAATAATAACAAAAGGAATGCTACTGTTGGTGTAATGCACAATTTAATCCAAAAGTTTGTGATTATATCAATATGGCTATAAAATAACAACAACAACAATATTATGATTACTAAATAAAAATATCACAATTAAATAAAATTTAAATATTGTATATTGTAATATTTCAGTGTAAAATAAAAAATAATATGTAAGAAAAATAACATAATAACATAACAAATAAATTCTAAATATAAAATTACAATACTAATCGTATTGTGTCATTCCTCAAATGTTAAAGGTTCAACTTAGAGCATGAATTAAATAGCAGCCTTTGTAACTTGATTAATCACACTAAGCCATTTATTTTGTTTAATCATGCAGCCCTAGTCTGCACTAATCTTTCTGACTGACTAGTGTTGGCTAGAATGAATAGTAATCAATAAGTTACATTAAAAACACTTCTTCCACCACTGTGCCACAGTTACGGATGGTTCAAACAGGACCGCGACTCAAAGGTTTCTGGACAGCATAAAGTCAGATGAAGCAGTGAGGTGAGTGTTTGATGAAAGCAGAGCTGCTGAGCTCCAGAGGGCTGTTAGTGACAGTCGTACACACCTGCAGGGGCCACACCAGTCCATTTGTTGGTTGAGGCCAAAGCGAGCGCGGCATTTCTTTGGTGAGCTGGGGTCTGAGTGAAAGGCAGCATGCGTGCAGAGAAAGAGAGACAGCGGCAGAGAGAAGAGGAGAAGAAGGAGAAGAGGCCGCCGAGGCAGAGAGGTTAGCCGTCCAAACACCAGGAGAGAGAGAAAAGCAATCACAGTCAAGACGTAAACCAAGCCCACTGCAAATACACAGAGCTACGCAATATCATATCAGCTGCTAGTCCATGCACACTGCCTACTGTACTGTCAAATATATTTTTTTAAAGTTGTAAATAAGACAAAACTAAGGAATCTTGTTTCTGCCACTGAATAAAAAAATAAAAGTAACTTGCCTCAAGTTTGACTTTTTTCTTACAATTGTGAGTTTACATTTCTTTTCTCAGAACAGCATGATGTAAACACAACTGTGAGATATAAACTCAATTGTAATGAAAATGTCAGAATTGTGAGCTGACTTTTTTCCTTGACTTTACAACTTGCAATGGCAAGTTTATATCTAACAATTATGAGAAAAGAGGTCAGAATTTCAGGATGTAAACTTGCAATTCTGAGGGAAAAAAAAACGGAGAAAAAGGAATTGCTAGATACAAACTTGGAATTTAGAGGGAAAAACAGAATTGTGAAAAACTTGGAATTTTGAGGGGAAAAAACAGAATTGTGAAAAACTTGGAATTTTGAGGGGAAAAAACAGAATTGTGAAAAACTTGGAATTTTGAGGGGAAAAAACAGAATTGTGAAAAACTTGGAATTTTGAGGGGAAAAAACAGAATTGTGAAAAACTTGGAATTTTGAGGGGAAAAAACAGAATTGTGAAAAACTTGGAATTTTGAGGGGAAAAAACAGAATTGTGAAAAACTTGGAATTTTGAGGGGAAAAAACAGAATTGTGAAAAACTTGGAATTTTGAGGGGAAAAAACAGAATTGCGAAAAACTTGGAATTTTGAGGGGGAAAAAACAGAATTGTGAGTTAAACTGAATTTTGAGGGGGAAAAAAGTCTGAATGGTGAGATAAAAACTGAATTTTGATGAAAAGTTAGAATTATGATATATAAACTCAGAATTTTGAGGGGAAAAGGTCAGAATTGAATTATACAAACTCTGACTTTTGAGGGATAAACTCAGAATTGCAAGAAAAAGCCAGAATTCTATATACTTATAAAAAGTCTATAAAAGGTGACTATAACAAGTCAGAATTTTTAGACAAAAAGTTGCAATTACCATTTTTATTTTTTATCCCATGGCGGAAACGAGCTTCCATACAAAAATTATTGTTGTTATTATTATTGTTTTACAAAAACAAAACTATTTCAGGTCTTTCTACTTCAAGATGTCATGTTTATTTCAGTGTTGTTACTTCATACTTTTTTGTGAAATTTACCAGCAATTTCTGAGTGAAAGTGTACGCTGCAGTATATATTACACAGATGTGCACAGCTGAACATGCAGTCTTTCAAAGCACGCACCATTTATTAGCCATCATGCACACTGGAGCGTTTCATCCTTCTCCAGCATCTCTGCTATCTCTTCCAGAAGTTATGAGCAATTTGTACTCATTTGAACTAGAGTTGTGTGCATCTCTTAATCCCCTCACACCAGCGCTATTTAAGTATCATTATTATTTTATTGTCTTGCAGGTTTATTTCAGTTAGTTTTAGTTAACGATAATAACCCTGGTACATAAGAAACATATAGAATAATTTTAGTTTACATGCATGTTAATCAAAAGTTGACAGTCAGAATGAATTGTTTCATGAGCAGAATAATCTCATTGTGACGGCTGGGCTGCATCAGCAGCTTGATGAGAAGACACCAGAGTTCAATGAATATCTGCATTATCAGCATTTATTAGAAATAACTGTTCTTCTGCTGAGTAATATAGTGCACTAGTGTTGCGTCAAAGGTGTGCGATCTGAACGCGGCTCATCCAGTCAGAATTCAGTTTCAATGATCAGTTTGATCTTTGATATTTTTGTATGTGAAACAGAAGAATGTTCCTCATGATCTGTGCAGAACTCACTCTCAATGCACTCAATGCATGTGAAAACACAAACATGTACCTGTGCCAGAGTCCTGCTGCTTGTCTCGTTTCCTTCGCTTCTTTTTGCCCTGTGGTGATGAGAGATCATCAGAGAAAGACGTCAACACACACACACAGATGTTGTGTTTCCATGTTTTATGGGGACATTCCATAGGCGTAATGGTTTTTATACTGTACAAACTGTATGTGCTATTGCCCTACACCAACCCTACCCCTAAACCTACCCCTCACAGGAAACTTTGTGCATTTTTACTTTC